CTTTATCAAATTAGGGATTACTAAATTTGTCGGAGAGCTCACCGGCATCGACATCTCCGGCAACACATCCGTCGTCGTTGTTTCCACAGACCTCTCCCAAATCCATGCCATATTCGTCAGATCGGGTCAAATACGAGACCCTCTCGCAGCCGCAGAGATCCTCTGTTTCTGTGCAAGCTCCGATTGTCTTCACCGCTATCTTAAATTAGAGGTTTCGGTGAGAGCCATGATCACAAAAATGGTAACCGCAATCACATTAATCGGAATCATGCCTGATTTTGTTAGATTATAGATCGAGATTATTTGAGAAAATCTCCAAATAGAAATTTGATTTTCGGTTTGTTTAAGATCGCAATTACAACCGAAAATCCAATTGTTGTGCTTTTGAGCATTTGTTTGAGAAGAATTTGTATGTTTGCTGGTTTTAGAGTTGTTTGAGTTCGTAATTACACCCAAAATCCACTTACTGTGTTCTTGAGCATTTGTTTCGGACGAATTTGTGTGTTTGCTTATCTTTAAGAAATCTTTAATTTCAATTATCTTTAATGAGCCCACGTGGATGTGTTCATGTGGATGTGTTTCGGACGAAGTTGGATACATTTCACTTTCATTTCAATTATCTTTAATGAGCCCAAGTGGATGTGTTCATGTGGTCAATAATACACAACTATCAAACAAATGCATAACATGTATATGTAGCATGTACATCAACTTAATAGAGAGAATCCCTAATGTCAGTAACATGATTTCTTACGCCGAGAACAAACAATAATCACAAAACCCAAAAGAATACACTTAGTAGATTTCATAAATCAACTTTTTTTAATGAATCAAAATATATTTACGTGGATGTGTACGTGGGCAATAGTATCACTTTTACTCTAGTAAAACATGCATAACTTTATCCTCCTAAAATGAGCACAGCTGTAAAAAGTTTCTCTCACATACTTTTGTACTTTTATAACCAAACAAATCCTAGCCGCATATTCAAAAAATTGTAAGCGTGCACCAAACATCTACATAGTCAGATATCAAAGTGGACACAAGCAAACTTAGAGATATTTTTGTCTAATTTCTTCACAAAACAAAGGAAGGTGCCTCTACCAAAAAAAAAGTGTCTCATTTGAAAGAAAACTCCAAGAAAGTGTCTCAAAATATGTCTGGTCCGATTAAATAAAAATTTTGAGATCCCGGTTTAATCAAATTCTACTGTTTGATGACTTGTTCTCGATCCTAATAACGATACTAAACATATTTAAATAGGGCCCAATAAGCTTTGGTAAGCCCATGATATAAGCCGCATGTTTTTAATTTGTTTTTATTTTTAAGTTACAACT